TTAATCCCCAAACACTGTATATAAAGAGGCTAAATAATTTAGTTTTAATATATGTAAAGACAGATTCCACTGTTCTAGGTGAATATTCAGCAAGGAACAAAGACACTTAAATACTTTCAAAATAAATACTGAAATACATTTTGGGGCCCTATAGAGAGCATCACGTGAAATGATTGTCCAAAAAGGATGAGATTATGAAGACCAAAGTGAAGCCACATTAGGCAAAATCTAGTGATTTCATACTGGGCAAGAGGAAACTTGAAAAGATATGAAAGAATGTTGTAAATGAGTCATTTTGTGAGCTTGGATTTCAAGGCCAATAAACAAAAGGATGGAGAGAGAAACACTGAGTAAGATTGGTGTTCATCACCAGCAATGGAAGAAAGGTGCTGTCCACATAAATATTTGTTCCAAACTGTGAAACTGCCAAGGGTTTCTTAGGTTTTATTCACTAGAGAATAAGCAAGCAACAAAAAACATTAGGAGAAAAATGCTACTAAAGCAATTTCGTATTTCAAAGAGAGTTTAAATAATTCTTAGGAGTTATGTTATACCACTGAACATGCAGATTTATGTAAAATTTAAAGCCTTGGAAAACCTTTCAGGTGCAGGATGACAGCAGTATGATCATATACTGTTGTAAGTGATCAAATGATCAAACTGATCTAATTGACAAATAGGTTATATAAAATATTGCATTTCACTTAATCCAGGGCCTTAGCAGTGTTTGAGAATTTTGAGAGCCCTTTACACAGCAAAATGGCCCACTCTGGGTAAGGAAATATGGACTAGATAATGGACAGTAAGTCAGTTTCAAAACCGTCTGAACTGTGATCAGTGGCACAAAGTCCACCCAGAGGCCAGTCACTACAGTTGTACCCCAGGTGTCAATACTGAGGCCAATACTGTCTAATAACTTCATTAACGACCCAGACAATGGGACTCAGTGCACACTCCACAAGTTTGCTGATGATACAAAGTCAGGAGAAGTGGCTGGTAGACCCAGAAGGGTTTGCTGCCATCCAGAAGGACTTTGACAGGCTGGAGAAATGGGCTGACAGGAACTTCACAAAGTTCAAAAAAAAAGAAGAAGAAAGTGGAATAACCTCATGCACCAGGTCAGGCTTGGTGTACAAGACTGATGGATGACCAACTGGCCAAGGAGGACCTTGGCAGAAAAGTACCTGGAGGTCCTCATAGGCTCCCTGTTGACCACAAGACATCAATGTGCCCTTGTGGCAAAGCAGACCAACAGCCTCCTTGGGCTACACCAGGAAAAAAGCTACCAACAAGTTGAGGGAGGTGATCCTTCCCCTCTGTTCAGCACTGCTGACACCACATCTGGAGTAATGGCTCCAGTTCTGAGCTCCTTAGTACAAGAGATGTTCATACTGGAGTAAGTCCAGTGAAGGGCTCAAAGATAACTAATAAAATGACTGGAACATCTGCCACACGAAGAGAGGCTGAGCGCGCTGTGATTTTTTTAGCCTGCAGAAAAGGCACAGGAAGATCTTATCAATGTGCATAAATACCTGCAAAATAAAAAAGGTAGAACCACACTATTCTCTGTGGTGACAGCACAAGAGGCAATGGGTACAAACTGAAACACATGAAATTCCATTTAAACATAAGAAAAAAAAAAAAAACCTCAATCACTTTGAGGGTGATTGAACAGTGGAGCAGGTTGTCAAGAGAGATTCCATCCTTGCAGACATTCAAACCCAACTGGACACGACGCCCAGGTGTAGCAGTAATTGCTTACAATATGTGGAGTGATAATATAGTCAGCCCAACAGCCAAACTCTTTGTTAAGAAGCACATGTACACGAGTGCACACAGGCACACACACAGTTTGTACTAGCAGCTGTAAAACTTCCTATTGCAGGGAAGAAATCATACACTTCCCAGTCCCTTGTCAGAGATGAGTTGCTTGGTGGGAAAAGAAATTAATATGCATCTTAAGAATAATCAGAGGGCAGATCTGTGACCAATTATTTGTTGCGCCACATTCCAAAACCACGGCAAATATTCTGGCCACACAAAACATGGGCTTTCTTCTAGGGAAACTGTCTGGTTGTTCTCATGGAGCAGTGCTGATGATGGAGCTGAGGTTATCAAAGTGGAAGCAGTTCTCTTGAAATCCCAGGCCCAAACCATGAAAAGCTCTGAAAGTAAAGATCTCAAGCTCTGCAATATTTTAAGCAAGCCAGGGAGAGCAGATGGTATAAAACAGCTAGGATGCTCTTTTGGCAGTTACTGTTACTAAACTGTGTTGCCACATTCTACACAAGCATGATTTTGACTGTGTCCACAAAAAGGGAAAGAAATGCTTTGGCAGGGTCATTTGTAAATTACTAACAGGGGGTCTTGCCAGCTGGATTTCTTCTAGTCATTTGGAATTTATCACAAACTTCAATGTATCAGATGCCTGGAAAAACAACACAGAAGTATTTGACTAATGATGATCCAGTTTACTACTCAAAAACTTCTTCACAATATGAGAAAGAGGAGCTTTCCCTTATTAATAGGACATCAGACATCTAAATAAAAGATATTTCAAAGCCTGTTCAAAGTAGATGGGATTAAGAAAAACAGCCTGTACCTTTCAATTGGTCACTAAACAGAGTAAATGAGGTAGACATCCTCCTTTCAATGAAAACACACAAGCTAGTTCTTGTGAGAAATGATAGCTCACTAGATTATTACTATTAACTCTTCTCAGTTTGTCATTGCTACAGCCCCTGGGAAATCACATGAACCTACACTTGGAGTAGTAACTGGAGTAACTGGAGATCAGCCCTAGTCTCACAATGCTACTGATTTCAAAAAGAAAACCAGATTTCAGATAGAAATCCTTCCTCCATCTCTACATGCACAATACCACATGTCCTGGCAATGACAGGAAAGTGACAAACATGCTACAAATTTTCTCCAGTGGTTTGAGGTCATGTAGCAAAGAACAGGCACATTCTTCCTCCAGCTATAGAGTACTGTGAGAATATATCTTAAAAAGTAAAGCACATACATGTTTCTATACATAGTAGAGAGAAAAATGCCTTGCAAAACATATTCTTCATATAAATATAGCAGATCTTTGACATTATACTTGGGAGAGCAGAATATGGTACTTGTAGTGCCTTTACCAGGAAAAGTCACTGTCGGGAAAGAGGGGAGCCCAGACTTATGGAGGCAAAGGAAACTTCTTTCAGTTTTCAAGACTAAATCTGTCATCATACAGGAGTGTTCTTCGTCTATCAGCCACCTCTTTCATGTGAAAGTTCTGCAGGACTTATTACTTGGTTTTGCATGGCTCTATGTTATTATACGGAGACACACGCACATCATGGCGGTGAGCAATGGACTTGAACAATAGGGGAATACCTGAAAACTTGAAGCTATCTTTGATTAAAGAAGTTCTGCTGTAAATTTGAAATTTATTTTAGCTTTTCTGATACCTGAAAACAAGGGTATTGCATGGCTTTGGTCATTGTAAGCAGTGCATTATCTATGCAAATATTGTCCTCCATCCAAAAAGGAATTTCAGTAGTAGTTGGGAGGCTTTAAAATCAAATCCTACATTTGACATATTAGAAGAAATTACAAATTCCATAATGCATAATATTATTTTTCTAATGTATCACTGGCTCATAATGAGAAACAATCTATTATATAGATTTTGCATTCAATCTTTTTGTCAAAAACTACATAGCACATCAAAAGTTAATAGCACTGGGGAGTTCAGTGATTAATATGAAAACAAATGGTATATTAAAAAATTCTTTTGTTCTTCATTCACAATGATGAAACTGCTAGGATTTAACCTTTAAGGGTTAAAGAGTTTAATCAATGTCAATGTCTGATCTTCTGAAGGCGATAAAGAACAGTCTGTCTAGTGATACCCAACAGAACATCACTTTGTCAAGCCACAAAGCGCCCAAAAGCTTGTCAAGTAAGTTACCAGAAACCTCTTTGTGGTTAGAACTCAGCTCCTTCCTGCTTGACCTATTATTTGATATTTGACCACTTGGTTGCAAGACACTTGCTCTTTCCAGCTGAAATGTCACTGGGGCATCTTGTCAGCTCCCCGACATCTCGGCCTGACATACAATTTTACTTTTGTGTGCTACAAGGCAGAAAATGCAGGGCAATGGCCTTGCTTTAAATTCTGTCAGCATCAAAGATGGGCGTCACTCTTGGGTCCTACCAACAACAACAAAAAAGGAGTCTATTTGAAGGTCAAAACAGCCATTACTTTAAAGTCTTTCAGCTTAAACTAAATCTATTACCTGCAACACTGGTTTGGGAACTGTCCTTATAAAGTACATAAACATATCATCAGAAATCCTCCCTGCACAATTGTTCTTCTTTCTTATGAAATGCAGACTTGATAAAAGGGTGAGTTTTCAGTGCCTGCAGGGACCAGATTCAGCAGTTAACTTAACTTGTTCAAATAGGCAAGTGGTATCATGTAGCTTTACAAGGAGCAACCTGACCTTCTCACATTGACCAGCAGTGACATTATTGTGCAGGAAGAGAAGCAGTCACATCATTTCTGTTTTGCACAACCTGCTTAAAGTTTGCAACTAAATGCTTGTCTTCAGTTGAGCTGACAAGAGAAAAGAGGGGGCTCAGTGAACCATGGCAGGGCTGCCATGAAATGACAGGAATCATTGGCATACATTTCAAATAGCTCTCTCAATCCTATTAAAGTATTGCAGTCCTGCTTTAAAATAGACAAGTATGAAACAACTTTGATAGATAGAGACTAAAATGGCTTATTGATTTTTTTTTTTAAGACTGAGGAAAATTACCCAAAATGTGTCATTCTTTAACATTTAAAAATATACTACATAAAAAATGAACAACTGCAATAAATAGAAGTTAAAAAAATAACTGTTTCGGTATGCACAGAATGAGAAGCGCAGAAATGTGAACATATGAATGCACATTTTCATAAAATGGTAAAATTAATGTCAAAAAATACATACGCTGAACTACAATTCAAAGGTAGCAACAAAATTGCACTTTAATTGCATCATTTTACATTAATGCAATTTTTTCCTTCTAAAAGATTATTGATACAAAGAATCTGAAAATCCATTTTCCATTGTTCTTTTGGGACTGGATGTGACATTCAGGCTGAAGGAATAGACTGAAGACTGAGAACTGGCTCTATTGTGCATAAAACTGTAGGATGTGTCAGGTTCAGCTTGCAATGCCAAAAAATCTGGGATACGACTCTGGTCAGGCTGAATTCCTAGCTTGAAGTCATGGTGATGTTTGAACTCCCTCCTGATTCCTGGAGTAAAAGAAAGTAATAATAAAAAATAAAACAAAAAAGAATCTACATTTAGTCTTAAGCAAGCAAGAGAAATAATTTCATTATGACTTTCACAAAGCTATGCATATGAGGTATTTGCAAGTGTTTGCTCCTTGTTTAAAACACTTATCTAAAATACATAGATTAATATATATATTTATCTTTAATAAGCACAAACAAAGGACATTAGATAGACTATTGTGCACTAGTAAGTGTTAGGAAACAACAGCCTACTTTATTTGAAGTGCTACAAATACTTAAAACTTTTACCCCCCTTCATTATCGTTTCTAGGGCGTAGGTTTTTTTAATCAAGAAAACAAACTTATTCTACACTCTCCCTGCCATTGCTATTAGGAAAAAAATGCCATGCTAAACATGGAAAGTATTCGTTTACTTTTAAATATATTTTACCATCAAGTGAAATCAAGCACTTAATACTCTTCAACTATTAGCCTGTTAGAAGATGGCCAGAGAATATACACTGAATGTACGTTGATGGGGAACATGATTCATATTTCAAAGAGTCTCGACATTCAGTCAAATTTATAAAGGTTAGAGCAGTTAAAATTCAGCATTAAATAAATTCCAGCACCAAAACATTGTGCATCCTGCTTTGAAAGATTATGGATAATATCAGTATATTGGCATTAATAATTTTTTAAAATGCTAAATAAAGCCACTCTGTAATCCTTTAAATATCCATACCAATAAACAAACTTAAGAAAACACAATGCCATATTGCTCTTCCACCCTCTGCCAAGGTATTTTGCCCAATGCATTATATAGCTGTGAAATAATGATCAAATATTTCATCAGGTCATAAATATGTGAAAACTTCATGTGAAAAACATAATTATGGAAAAGACAAAATTTAAGATACTGATTTAAGACACTGTTACAGTGCATTTGAGGTTTTAAACACTCTCTCTTTGGCATTTCAGAAGAAGATACATGCTTATATAAACACACACAGAGGCAAAATGCATATATACAGAGGCGCAGGTTCCAATAAACACACTCAGATATCCAAAGAGAGGCAAAAGGCTATGTGTGTATTCATATTTCAACAAATCCAGACTCAATCATATGTATAAAGACACATTCATGAAAGATTCCCCTTTCCTCTGTTACTATTGCTGGAGAAAAATCAATGGTTGCCTCTAACACCTACTTCAACAGTTCCCTTTGATACTCTTTTGATTTCTGATTCACCATGAGCCATATAGCAGCTACTGTAAACAGCTAAGTTGTGTTAGATCTTCATTACGAACACACAGTAGCAAATTTAGATGACTACTTCATGTAGATAGTTAAAATGAGGTAGTGCCTTGAGGTTTTCTAAACTATGGTGGCGATGAGGATGACATAACCAGCAGATCTGGCAGGTAAGGTCTGTAACACTCCAGCTTTTCAGTCCTTCTGGGCTCAATGCTACACAGAATGGGAACCACTAAAAAGCCCAAAGCACAAAAAAAATGTATGGCATTTGTATAAGCACATCTGCAATGAGATCTCAATGAGGGCATCCACCTATTACATCGCTTAACAGTTTGTTATTGTATACTTTAATCAGCTCACCACATAGCCAAAATTCTCTCCAAAATAAGAGTAATTTATAAAATAATATTATGACAATATTGAAATAGGCAAATAACTTGTGATGTTCTAAAAACAATTCTGTGTGTAAAAAAATGAAATCACTAAGATAGAAGCTATAAACAAGTTTTACTCTGGGTAACAAATATTGAAGACAAATTTAAATATATTGGTTTGTACTGCTTTCAACATCCCAATTAATCAGCATATCATGAGTAAAAATCACATGCTACAATTACACTCTCATATCACTCCTTTTCCAGATGTAGTGAGGGTTTTTTTTGAAGAATATGGCATCAAAATCCCAGTAAGGAGGTAAGAAATCAGATTTCCTTTGAGAGTTGCAAAAAAAAAATGTATGAAACTTAATGATTGGCAGCAAGTCAATAGACTACGTTACAGCAAAAGCTTCACTGTTGGGGGAAAAAAAGCTCTGGTTTAGTTATCCAGATCCTGTGCTGTACTTCTTACAAAGAACAGAATACTATTCATTGAATAGAAGGGAAATCACTAATAGCAATGTGATTGATGTGAAAAAAAAAGATCTCGGCTGTTACTCATAAGAACTGTTTTGATCCAATATCACTATATACATTCGTGATGAATAAGAAAATAGGATCCTATACATTAGAAGAAAAAATACACAGAACTGTTATAACACTCATTGTTTGAACACATACCTGTATGCAGGAATTTTAAAGGCAGTTATACTTTCCCCAACGGACCTCTTTCAACATTATTGTACTTAGACACCTTTCCAAAACATGTATTAAATTGACAAATTCAAATGACTATGCCAGAGCTGTGATGATAATCCATCATATAAATATGCATTTAGGTAATTTTTAAAAGACAAATTATGTATCTTAAATAAGGTGCCTGTTCAGGTAAATCTCAAGCATAGCACTTTTATTTACCCGTTAAGCTGTAAATGATTCCATCTAAACTGCTACACTTCATCAGGTAAATAGATATTTAGGACACAACGTGTCTAGCAAAAATATGCTTTCAAAATATTTATGTAATATAGTAATTGGACATGTCCTATGGTCATTTTTCTAAGTTTCCTAGCCTAACTTTATAAAACATGTCTTCCTAAAGATCAAAATATGAAAGATTACTCTATATTATGGCATAATTGCTTTCCAAACTATAGTTAACACAAGGAATTTTTTAGTATTAGACATCGAAAAAGATTTCCAAAACAATTCTTCTCCTGAGTTTTTCTTCTGTGACTAACCTTTGATCACATTTAGGATCTAGTTTACAGGTTATCTCATGATACATGAGCTGTTTTACCAAGGTTAAAAATTATTTATATTGGGTTGCTTTATTATGTATGATACAGTGAGGAAATACTATAATACCATTGTGCATTATAACCTTATGTATGTTTTTATTGAGATGTCAACCTACTAAAAAGCATCGTGCTATAATCAAAGACACCCCTTTTGCTTTTCTATATCAATATTTGTGGAATAATATGCACTTGGAATTAGAAGACTAAGCACATGTTATGACAATGGTGCAAACAGAAGAAATTCAGTTAGAAGTATATTATTCTTCTTCATTTGTAGGAGTAAAATCTATAACCAGAACTGAAGCCAAAAATCAGCCTTCGAAGTCCACACAAGGATAACTTTACTGGACCCCAGTTTTCACTATAACACCATACTACAACTTTTCAATTCCCTCTACTATTTGTATGTTACAACACTAACTCCTTCCAATTTTGGGATTTCCCACCACTAAATTTTAGTCACTTTAAACTGCTTTCAAATATTCCATTTCAAAACACAGTAGCCCAAGCTTCCCTTCCACTTTCTTATGACATACAACATTCTATATTGGAAAAAAACAGAATAAAAAAATAAGAATAATAAAAAAGGTAAGGTTTTTGTGAGTTAAGGCTTCTGGGTTGTGAATAACAAGCGTGCATACATGGCTTCAACTGAGTTAATAAAGTAATGAAATGGCTTAGAATCTGAACAGAAAATGACAAAGTAAGGGATGAAATAACAGGGCAGAAAGAGTAATACTGGAGTTACAACATAATACAAAGACTCAGTTATGGGGGTTCCCTGTATGATGAGGCAGATGCAGTAATAAGCTCAGTGTTATATCTCAGGCTAAATTAAAGGCAATTGTTGAATTACAAAGCCGAAGGACGATCACCAGATCACAGGATACTTAGAAGTGCAGAGGGAGCAGCAACCTGTACTTTCTTCTCAATTCTAGCATCCTCTAAAATCTCTGGAAAGGCTGTAGCACAGTTCCCCAAGAGTAGAAGGAAACGTAAGGTAAGCACAGACACAGACAGCAATGAGGAGAATGTGAGAGACAGTCAATATATTTCTCCACAGTTGATTTCTGGTACTCATTTCTCTCACCTCAAATCTAGAACATACATACACACAGTAACACCACTAGACAGCAAAGCAAATGGCCAATAATGTTCTTTTCAGCATCTCCCATCTATGCCATCATTGTAGCTTGCATCATTTCACTGTAGCACTCCAGTGAGTGTTAAAGAAATAAACACTGTCTTTGATAACCATTTTGCACTATTTACATGGAAAACCTGTTTCCTTTTAGAAAAAGACGCACATATTCTGATCATTCACAACCTCCCTTTCAGACTGCTGTTTCCAAACCTGAGTTGACTTTTGCCAGACTCCCACTGCTCATTCTTTTGCTGTTAAAAGTAGCTCCCCAATAGCCATTTCTCACTCTCAGTGAACTAATTAAAACATCAGATTGATGAAAATGCTAGAGTCTGGTGCTTAAAATGTAAAGCACTGCTAGTGGGTGTTAGTGCAGTACAGGGCTAGCTAACAAACTTTTTCAAAGCAGGAACGTATGCTGGCCAAAACTGGAAGGCTTGCTTCCCGTGTCAATGGTTTTGCAATTCTGTATGCTGATGCTGCAGGACTAAATTGGTGCTCTGACACAAAGTAGGAAAATGGTAACATTCAGTATAAATTTTAATTGTCAGCATTCCTGCCTGGTTTCTGCAAACAATTTGCTATCAGAGAATAATTCAATGGGCTGCCAGCTCCATGCATATTAAGTCAGAAAGGTAGACACACAACACACTTTGGGTGCTGCTGGCCAACAATAATAATGGCTTTTTTCATTATCAAAGAATTTCCACTTCCAGGAGTTTTTAAACAAACATATGAGTCTGAAATAGCTGGAAATAATTTTTTTTCTGCTTCTCTAATGCATTCAGTGAAATTACATTCTAAAGGTTCAATTAAAAACAATTAAGAAAAATATTTCATACTCTTGAGTGTGTTTTTCTAAAAGAAAATCCTGTTTTATTCAAACATACTTAAATCTGGAAGGTTTGAAGAATACGCGGGATTGGATGGATTATCAC